GCGTCCCGACGGCCCAGGGGCAGGCCCCCACGACGAGGCAGGATGGCCTCGAGATGGCCCACGGGGCCCTCGAGACGACAGCCCCAGAAACGCCTCCAGAGGATCGCCGAGAGGGCGGCAGGACGCCCGAATCATCCCATTCCTCTGGACAACCGTACATTTTGAGCACACTCGCATCTTACGTTTTGACAGAGAGCACGATGGCCCAAGTGGCCCCAAAGATCGTCCCAAGACGGCCCACGATGCCTCCAAGGCGGGCACAAGACGGCCAGGAAAAACTCATGGCGGGAGGTGTTTCAATCTCTCTCTCTCTCTCTCTCTCTCTCCGCCTCGAGAGGCCCTTCCCGGCCCTCGGAACCGTCTAACTCGCCATCGCTCGGACGTCCATTACCCGTGCATTTTTCGATTTCGTGCGTGCATCTTTCGCTAAATGACCAAAGATGCCCCTCGATGGTCCTCGCCGAGAAAAAATGCACACCTCCGAGCGATGCCAAGTCTAAAGGAACGACTCGGGATGAAAAGCCTGTCCTGCGGAATGGGTCGAGACCTCGGGGGCCGACGCTGTGAAAAAACCATGACGTCGGGGGTCTGGGAATGATGTCATGATAGGGTAGGGGCTGGACCACGAGAAACCTTCCACAAGAACCCCCAACCCTGAGACCCCAGGACGTCCATCAATGTTTGGGCGTGGGAACGTCACGCTGTCCATGACAAAACCATCGAAACCCGAGAAACCCAGGGCACCCTGGAGGCAAGCAGGGTGCTTCTCGACATGGGTCTCCACTGTAGGAGTGGCTCAGAAGGCCCCCCAGGAGGCGCCAAGAGGTCCCCAAAGGGCCCCCAAGAGGCCCCCAAAGGGCCCCCAAGAGGCTCCCAGGAGGCCCCCGGAAAGGCTCCCAAGAGGCCCCAGAACTGCTCCCAAGAGGCCTCCGAGAGCGCCTCGAAGAGATCCGAAGAGGCATCCCTGAGAACTCTGACCCACAACCCGGGCACGGTGGCGGATTCTGGACCGACGGCCATCAGATGACTGGGAGCGGCTCGGGATGCGCTCCAGGATTCCCAGCATCTAGCGGCCCCGTCCCTGCAGCCCGTGTGGAGCATTCGAAAGTCGTCCCAGACATGCGACGTCCCGATGTTTTCAGGACGGCGTCCCTGGAATGCCCGACCCTTTCCCCGGCACCGGTTTTCATCCTGAGTAGTTTTTTGACGGTCCTGGGGCTCGGCGAGGGCCTCTAGGAGTCAAAAATGACGAAAACCTCCCGTCCTGATTTTTTTACGACGCCATCATGTCTGCGTTGGAGACCCTGGACGGACGGACGGACGGACGCCACAGCGAACAGCGTGCGGCCCCCGGGGCTGGCTGGGACTCGGCGCGCAGGTGTGGGTACTCGACGTGTCGCCTGCAGGAATGCACGCTCCCCAGTTGGGGACGAAGCCGGGGCGTCTGCGGCAGCGCTGTGCCAGCTCTCGGGGGAAGCATCGAGTCCTTCTCTGCGCCAGGATACAAGCAGACCATCGATACACCTTTTTTCTGGAAATCCTGAAGCTTGCCATCATCATGCGAGCTTCTTTTGACCGCTCCCCATCCCCAGCGGCGTGACCTGGGCCCCACTGGCCGCTTTACCCCCCTAGATGGGGATGTAGGTCGTTCCCTTCGGGTTTCGAGGGGTGTATCCCCAACTGGGGCGGTAATTTGGTGGGGGTCTCGAAGGGGATGGGGATGGGGATGGGGATCGGGTAAGCGATACCGATTCTCTGCGCAGAGATACAAGTAGATCGTCGATCCACATGTTTCTGGAAATCCTGAAACTTGTCATCATCATGACCTCGGGAGCGGCTAAGAGGGGGGTGTCCAAGAGGGGGGGGTGCAAATCATGACCGGCGGCATGTGCGCGGCCCAGCGGGGGGGCCAGGGACGTAATAAAACAAGAAGAGGCGCCACGAAATCTGTGGAAATATCATGGCCCCCGCCACGATATCCACCCCCCCCTAGTCATCACCCCCCTCTTTTCCGCCCCCGATGACCCCCCTTGCTTCTCTGAGCACACCGCCGGGAGCGCTGGCCCCCCGCCGTGGGGGGCACGGGCCGTGGGCGCACCTGCGGAGGCATCGGGCTGGCGCTTGCCCTGGCCTCTCCGCGGGCTCTGACGCTCTCACCTCGTCGGGGCGTCCGAGACGCTCCCAAAACGGCCCAAGACAGGGGGCCACGTGCGAACCCTACCCCTACCCCCCCTCGATTTCTGAGGGGGAGGGTGGGGTTCACTTCGCTCGGGAGCTCCCGAACGAAGTGAACCCCACCCTTCCCCTCAGAAATCGTGGGGGGGTAGGGGTAGGTTTCGCATGTGGCCCCCTACAAGAGGCACCCAAGATCACCCCGACAGGGCCCAGCAGGCCCCCAAGAGGGCCACCCGGACGGCCCAGGAGGACCCCGAGGCCGCCCAAGCGGCCCCCCAGATGGCCCAAGACCTGCACATGGAGGCCGGCTGCAAGAGACTTGATA